CGAGCCAGTGAGGCCATACTCCAGCCAGGGTAAGTGTCACATCAAACCATGATGGAACTGTAGATGCAGAATAAAAATTTGTCCGTCGTTGATTTTAGGAGGGTGTGATATCCTGAAGACTTGTCGTCCTTAGATGCAATAGATCTGTGGCTTGAACGTGTGGTCCCAAATGCTAATGTCCCAGTACCGGTTCCCAACCGTAAGTTGTTATTGATTGTTGCGCTTGTTAATCTGTTCCATTAACGCTGAGTGCAACCAGGTGCGAAGTTGCTGGCATAATGTTGAGCAGGTCTCTTCCAGATAAAATATGAAAGTGAAACTCCATAGATGATAATAGATCGCGCAGAAGTGAGTCATAGAAGTGGGCCGCAGGCCCGCACACCTCCTGGGACCGCCTAACTCCCTCCATCGTCCCGCAAGTGACATCGTCGTCTTGCAGGGAATGGTGGAACTGAGCGATGGCGGCTGGAGACAGAAGCGTAGCACTCTAGAGTTTGAAGGTGGATACGAAGCTGGTCTTGAGTGGAGTAGCACATTGGTTTCCGAGTATGGGGCTGGTCGGCGATGGAGAAGGGGAATGAGGAAGTTTTTTCTTGCCTTAAATGAGTGGTTGGAGCGGAACAAGGTTGGGAGAGATTGTATGACCTGTAATGACTTGGATGTGTTGTCCTTCGTCAACAGCCAGTGGCTAGTTGAGGTGGAGAGTCAGTGTCGAACTTCGGATGCTGAAGGCCTCCCGCTTGTTTCTCCATCCACCGTGGATGCAGTCATCAATTGCTTGAGTGCTTGCTTTCGATTGTTGGAAAGGGATGGGGAGGGGGATCCTTGCAAGAGTAGCAGAGTGCGAGCTTTCCGCAGAGCACATCGAGAGTATTCTTTACAACGAGGTGTGGTTGAAGAGTCGGCGCAACCTTTGAGATGGCAGAAATTGAAGAAAGTGTTGGAGCATATTAGGATGACGGTGAAAATATTGAAGGGTTATGCGGAAGCTCAGGCTTACCGGAATGGAGGGGCATTTTTGTACTTATGGGAGAGTTGGCAGCGTTGCGGTCAGGGATTGAGATTGCAGTTTAAGGAGATTGATTTTGAACAAAGGGTTGTATGGCCAGGTTATATAAAAACTGATTGTCATGGTGGAAAATTTATGATAAGGTTACGAGAACCCAAAGGGGAAGAGGAGACCTTCTTGGGATAGCTTCCAGAGTTGTTGAGCAGTTATGATCGGTTGGGTCAGGATATAAGAAAAGGTTATTTGTTTCGACCAATGCGTGGTGATGGGCCGGTGACTGGTGGAGGTTTTAACAAGCATATAGAGAAATGGTTCGAGGAGGCGGAAGTTTATGAAGGAGAGAGCGGACACAGTTTTCAAGTTGGGGGGGTTCAGGTAGGTATAGAGGAGGGTTAAAGTTTGGGTGAGATGATGCGGCAAGGAACATAGAGTAGTGTTGGGACGTTTAGGAGATATGGATATGGGATTCGTCGTGGATGAAAAAGAAGGAGCTAGGGGCTTTAGGTGGAAAAAAGAATTGTTGTGAGGCTGAGGATTGCCGGGTTGGGGGCGGAGAGGTGGACCCTGGGGCTGGGGAGGCAGGAGAATCTGGATTCAGGGATGATGAAGCGGCGAATAATGTTGAGTGAGAGAATGCGTGGGTACTAAGTTGTGCATTAAGATGAAGGTAATATAAGGAGGTAGGAAGCTGGGCTGGCGAGTGCCCTCGAGAGAGTGTGATGAAGTAGTGATGTAGGTGGGAAGAGTCAGCGATAGGGAAGAGATGGTAGCAAGTTTTAGTCTATTGAGAGAGCGTCTATTTATAAGGTTTTTTTTTACCAATTTCTGGATATAAATATTGGACAAGTGTGGTAGTAGTCGGATGCAAAAAGGTCAATTGCTGGTGTTCCTAAATCAGAGAAGATTTCGACCTTTATATGACCTGCTAGACCCCAATCTGTTTTATCTCTGATTTTGGATATAGAGTGGGTTGATGTATTCAATGTTCTGAGAATCCAAATGAGACTGAGAAGAGAGTCAGAAAGGAGTAGAATGGAGGCAATGTTACACATCCAAGGATTGAAAGATTTGTCGGTTGATTTCATCCTTAGGAGTAGAGATGTGGCAGCTTGGCTGTCGGAGTGAAGTCTGATTGAGGCTGAGGAGAGAAGATGAGGGTGAGTATTAACGAGAAATTTGAATGTTTATAGAATGACGAAGAGTTCTCTGTGAGTGGAAGATGGATCTAACAATGAATGGGGTAGACATTGGTTGAATGTGATTGGTTTGTCGTGAAAAGGGTAAATGATTGTTGCGATTTGAGTTGCTCAGGCATCCGTGAATATGGAAAGGGTAGCAGGTCAAATGGTCCATAGTCTTCCTGGGAGGGGGTAGGTGAGAGATCCACTATATCAGGTCATGTATGAGGTTATCCGAGATTTAGATAGGTGAATCCCAGTTGGAAGGTGAAATAGCTTCGTAAAGTGACGAAAGGTAGAGATGAGAGGGTACGAAGGTTTTGGATAGGGAAGCGAGTTTTCCTGCTAATTTGGAGAGTATTCTGCTAATTTGGCGAGTATTCTGCTAGAAGCGTTGGGGGAGGCTTGAATCAGACAAAGGATCTTCTCGATTTTGTCTTCACGGAGTCCGACTCTTATTGGTTCAGAATGAGAATCCAGTGTGAATCTTAGAAAACGTATAGACAGAGAGGGGGGAAAAGAGCATTTGTGGGTGCTAAGGGAAAAAAAAAGGTTATGAAGAAGAGCGACGTAGTTGAATGATTGTCATAGGAATAAGGGTAGCTCCCTGATGACAAGTGCAGAATCGTCGATGTATGATGTGGCGGAGACGTTGCGGATGCAAAGTTCGGTCATGATTTCCTGCATAACAGTTGTAAAAATCCAACACGCAGAGGAAATTCCAAAGCAGAGCGTTATGAATTGATAGTTCAGACCATTCCAATGAAACGCTAGATAGGGTCGCGAGATGGGGTGGATTGGGATATGGTAATAGTCATTTTTCATATCGAAACAGGTGAGAAAATCTTGAGTTGGAGATCCTGATAGGTGAGCATTAGCGTCGTCGATTGATTCATAGTGAAAATGGGGAAAGGTTGAAAAGAGATTGACGAAACGGACGTCAAGTGTGAAGCGTGTTTTGGACGAGCTATCTGTTGCGAAAACATGATTGATTACTATGAGATGTGAAGAGAGTTCTATGACACCTGAGGAAAGAAGTTGTGAGACTGATGATGAGATGAAAATGATGTGATTGGGGGGATGGTTGTGATTGGGTTTGGTAAGAGGGGGGGAGAATTTAGTTTGAGAGATTGCTTAAAACGGGATGCAGAGAGGACAAATTTGACCATTCTTCTAACTTCAATAATCTTAGAGGTTGGAATGTGGGAGGTACTGTTGAACTGGAGCCTAACACCGTGTTGGATCCATTGCAGGACTGAGTGAGAATATCTTCTGGTGGAAGAGGATAGTAAGAGTGACCAATTAGAGAAATGTTGTGACGGAGAGACGACGAAAAATTGGTGCAAGTCTACGGGTTGACATCAATACTGTACACAGGTAAGATAGGGAACTAGGGATCGAGCCCTGGGATCTTCATTCGCTACTGCGAACTGGTGATTACCGTTTCACTCCCGCCGGCCTAAATTCGAGGTCCTCCGAGAAAAATTCAGTCCAAGGCAGGACCTTTACCCTTCTGTTGTCTCTCATAGGCTCGGACTATATCGGAAGCTGTCTCTAGAAGTTCAGATCTTGTAAACCAGCGGTCGTCTTCCGGTTCCTGATAGCTAAAATGAACCTTGAATTGTTTCTGCTGACGACCTCTACCTCCAGTTCTGAAGACATCCTCAGCCACTATACCATCTAGGTCATATCTTCCATCCATATCAGGTGGGATCATCGATCTATGGGATGAAAACTGATCACTTGTTTGACAAGGTAACAACTTTGACGCATGGGAAACTGGGTAAGTATGGAGGTGTGCTGGTAGCTCTATGGTATAGGACGGTCCATCTTCGCCGCCCTTGACCTCTAGAACAGGCCACGATCCTCTATATGTGGGCAGTAACTTCAACGAGATGTTCTCCTCAGGCGCAAACTCTTTGGAACTAACCCAAACTAAGTCGCCTACTTGTAACTGTGAAGGGCGACGATGTTTGTTCGCTTGCTCTATCATCTTATGCTGGGTTTTCCCGAGGTTTTCTACAACGGTAGCTAGTTCTCTCTCGTGTTGCACAACAAACTCCCGGGTCCCGGGCGACAATCTGTGAATCTGATCCCGGTTGAGTCCCTCAAACGGTCTGCGTGGTCTAAAGGACTTGTGCAGTTCGTTGGGAGTGCGACATGTAGACAGATGCACGCTATTATTGTACGCACTAGCTACTTTGGGCAACTTTTCATCCCAGTTAATCTGATCTGGCCTAATATACATGCGCAGAACTTGCTGTAGGATCTTGTTCATTTGCTCCGTCTTACCGTTAGTCTCTGGATGACGGTCGGACGACATCAACAACTTGGACCCATACACTCCCATGAGTTCTTGCCAGTTCTGGCTGGTGAAACGACTATCTCTATCACTAACTATTGACAGCGGGATTCCGTTCTCACTAACCCAACAGTCAAAGAACCTCTGTATGACTAAATCAGTACGCGCCTCTGAAGGCAAAGGAACAGAAACTGCATACTTGCTAAAGCGGTCAACTATGACCATGACTTGGCTCTTGCCATGCCTGCTCTTGACTTGAGTGTCCATGAAATCTATTGACACTGAGTCTCCCGRMTGATCTGGAATGGGCAAGGGTCTGAGAAGACCTAGCGGGGCGCGCGTAGAACTCTTATTACGCTGGCAGACTTTGCAACTGCGAACATACTCTACGCAATCATTCTTCATCCCTGACCAGGTGTACGCACGCATAAGATTGGATAAGGTCTTTTGCCAACCAAAGTGACCCTCTGTGTCATGGCATTCGCCCAGAATCAGACTACGAATCTCTTCGCTATTGGGGATGCACAGGCGGTCAGACACATTAGTCTTCTCAAAAAGCAACCCTTCGGTAGTGCGGTAATTCGGTTCAGTCTCTGGGGCCTCCTTGACTTTCTTAAGGAGCTGACTATAGATAGGGTCCTGCGCATAAGCTTCTCTAACCCTCTGCTGCAGGTCCTTCCCTATATCGAGGTAATGTACTATTGCCCCAAAGTAATCCGCTCTCCTACTCAGAGCATCCACGACTACGTTGTACTTCCCTTTGACAGGCTTGAGCTCAAAGTCATACTAATCTATCTCTGCGGCCCACCTAGTAAGCCTAGGCGTCATCTTGGCCTGCGTCTTTAACCATCGTAATGTCTCATGGTCATAATAGACTTTGAAGTGCCTCCCAAGCAAGTAGTGCTTCCAGTGGCCTAAGGCTTCCCTGAGAGCGTAGAGTTCCCTTTCATAGGTAGATGTCGCGACCTTCTCTGAAGGCATCCTGGTGGACATGAACTCTACGGGTCTATAGCCATTGCCATCGTCTTGCTGTAACACTGCGCCTATACCGTACTGGCTAGCATCCGTAGTAACGACAAAAGGCAAGGACGGATCGGCGACCTTAAGGACCGGATACTCTATCAATGCCTGCTTTAGCTTCTTCATGGCAGACGTGCAGTCCTTGTCCCACTTCCAGGTTGTCTCTTTTCTCAGCAATCTGCGAAGGAGCGCAACGATGGTGGAGAAGTTCCTCACGAACTTTCTATAGTAGTTAGCTAGGCCCAGGAACGAGCACAACTCTGTCAGCGTACGTGGCGTGGGCCAATCTCTAATCGCTGCGATCTTGCTATCCTCTGGCTTAATGCCGTCTCCATCTAAGACGTGGCCTAGATACAGAACTTGGGTCGTCGTCCAATTGCACTTCTTCGCATTGATCTTGAAGTTAGCTTCCCTCAGCTTCTCCAAGACCTGCCTGAGATGACCCTGATGCTCTTCGAGGGTCTTACTAAACAGTAGAATGTCATCTAGATAAACAACAACAAATTTGTCTAACCACGACCTAAACAAATCGTTCATGCAGCGCTGGAACGTAGCTGGCGCATTGGTTAGTCCAAAGGGCATCACTATGAACTCGTAGTGCCTGTATCTAGTCCGGAAGGCTGTCTTATACTGATCATCAGGATGCACCTCTATCTGATGATACCCGGACTTCAAATCTATCTTAGAGAAATACTTGGCCCCTTGCACTCGATCTAAGAGATCGTCTATCCTAGGCAGTGGCTCAACATTCTTTACCGTAATAGCATTCAGACCCCTATAGTCTATGCACATTCACAGCTCTCCCTCTTTCTTAGGAACAAAGAGAACAGGCGCTCCGAAAGGAGACGAACTGGACCTAATCCAACCCTTCTCGAGGAGTTCGTCTAATTGCTTGCGAAGCTCCTCTAACTCCCGTAGGGACATCCTGTACACAGCGCCCTTAGGAGTTCTACTGTCAGGCTCTATCTCAATGCGGTGCTGGATGGGCCGCGGTACTACTCCTATCGGCGGCTCGGTTCGATCCATGAACTCTTCCAGCAGCTTGGCAATCGCAGGGTCCACCGACTTTTCTTCCGTAGACTCAGTCACTGGCCTAACATAGGCAACAAAGACATGTTCCTCCAATCCCTCCTTCTTCACTGACCTGGCGAACGCAGGAGCACTAAGACAGCAATGTGCCAAGGGATTCTTTACTCCTGACACATGGAACAGGCGGGCAGTCTTAGCCTCGCCTGAAGAACTAGGGAGCCTACACTCGTGCTCCTTCAAATGGAGCGTGGCCCCGGCTGCCTCTCCCCAATCCATTCCCAGGACAATGTCAAATGGGAGACTGTCCTCTACGAGGAGAGTCAGGGAGTGGAGGACCTTCTCCACTTTCCCATCTTTCTCTAGGCGGAAATACGCCTGGACTCCATCTACGTAATCCTCTACAATCATAGTACGATTGTCCGCGAGGATACTAACTATGGGGTCTGTCAGTTTCTGGACTTTAAGTCCCAGCCTCAACTTCTGCAGCGCTTTCCTACTAATATAGCTGCGAGTGGCCCCTGAGTCTACTAGGGCCCCTACTCTACTTCTAAAAATCTCTGTATCTAGTAATATAAGTTGCCATTTGTTCTCCTTCTTCATCTTGGCCCAGGCGGGCATCCTCTCCTTCAATTCTTCGGCCACGCCTGTGAGGGAGGTGTCTAGCGAAACTCTAACACAAGCAGTTTCGGGACAACTGTCTAGACACCGGCCTGCAACCTCTTCCGTAGGTACATGTGGTGTGGGAGTCTCCTGCCGGCTAGCGCTATTTTCCCCACATGGCCTAGTAGTAGGGGCAGTTGCTACCCCTACCGGCGGCTGCCTTTTGGCCCTTGGGCAGCCGTTCGGGTCTCTCTATACTTGGGACAATATTTGATGATATGGCCCGGGTCACCGCARAAAATGCRYTGRCCCCGGTCYAMTCGWTTTTGCCAYAAGTYMTGGTCCAGACCCAAAGATTCCCAAGGCCTACCCTGAGGTAGCCCTGGGTGCCATCCTCCTACTCTATAGGGAGACCTATTCCTAGGACGGTTTTGCCAGGGACATTGACCCCTGCCTCCCGCTTCGCGGTTTCCTCCTCTGCCGCCAACCCCCTGATCGCCCTGAAATCGACTCCCTGAGGCCCGGCCCCCTTGGCCCTGGCCTCTTCCTCCTTGYGGCCTCCCTCCAGCCGCGACAGCAGCGTAAGATCTCCCATGGCCCACACCGCTGTCATCCTCCTCTAACCCCCACTCAATCTGATCGTAGGGGATCTCATCCACACTACCCTCATCTAAGGTCAGGACAAGGTTGTCCTTGGTCCTTACTTGCCCTGAGATAGTGCGGCCCTTCCATTGCTTACCCTTGTCCAAGTCCTTGTGCCAGAAAGCGGACACAGACGCAGACTTGGCTTCAAAAGCCACTACTTCGCGACTAAGGGAATCGTATGTAGTGGCAGGGTCTTCACTCTTTGCGAAGAAATGCCCTCGAAGGGCTTCGGGTATAGCCCGATAAAAGAGGCCAACCAACTGGGTGTCTGTAACCCCGTGGTCAGGAACGGCCACCAACTCATCCATTGTACCCTTGAGTGCCCTGACACTCTTCCATTTACGAGAATGTATGGTTTGAAGCTTATCTGAGGCCTTGACACTGCGAGCGACATCAGCAAATCGCTCGCGCAACAACTTCAGGAATTCGGTGAGGGACGTAAATGAGGAGTACGCAACGGGATCATCACTACAGTTGGCCAAGCGAACTAGGGACCTTGCAAAGTTGGCGGCTTCATCTCTGAGCRCGTGAATCGCAATCAAAACCTGCTGATCCGGGGAGACCTGTTGCAGATGCACATAGGTCTTGACATTGGCCTCCCAATTGTCGAAGTTCTSTTCCCTTTTTCCACTGTAGGAATCAGGGAATTTAACTTTGACCGGTTCCCGACGAGGAGGACGTGCTTCCTCCTCCTTGGGAGCTGCCGCTTTGACGCCCTCAATGGCGCTGGCACAAAACCGCTCAGTCTTGTCGAGGCGGTGGCCCACCTCGGTTCTATAGCGCCTACCAGCTCACGCGCAAAGTCCCGAACCCCCAACTTTATGGAACGCACAGCTATGTGTTGACTCCTACTAAAATCATATTGCTCCGCCTGAATTCGTGCCAGGCGTGCAACRTTTCGGGCTATGACTCGCATTTGMGCTGGGAGTTCRGKYTGGGCGGCCAGTTGCTCWTCTATATTCTTTACTTCCTCTAATTCTTCTGCCGCCTCCGCTGCCGCGTCCACTCTCCTCTTCTTCTCCCTCATCACTGCCAACTTCCACTCCATCCTCTTTTCGTCTTCCAATGCCTGCCGCTTCACAACATCCTTTTCTGCTTCCCAGACCCTCATA